AGAAATTTATGTTTTAAGTCCTGGAGACAGAAAGAAAAAATCGTCAATCTTGTGGAATGCACATTTGTTATTTCTACATTTTTTTTTTGTATTATTATATAGAGTGACGATAAATTTGTCAATGTTGTAAATCAAATTTATCGATCTTTTTGTTTCCTTTCTTAATATTTTATTGGTTATCAAATAATTTCTACGAAAGAAAGGTTAAATCTAAAATAGATGTGTGTGTGTGTGTGAAATCAACTATATGAATAATACTTTGATGCTATCATATGGTAACTAATCTTTGGTAATTCGGTTAGTAGTTTAAAACTTGGGTAAGGATTCTTCACGTTCGCGAAACCCGTAGCATACTTTCAATCTTATTTTATTCGTGGTTAGATCTCGTTATAAGTTGAAAGATCATTTTCCATAATCGATCTTTGTCAAATATTTCCATTAATCAAACGTCATCGTTCGATAGTTTCGATCATTTAAATGATTGTTTCTTTTGAAATCGGATTAGGTTTAACAGATTTTTCAAAATTAGAAAATTTTTTAAACAAATCTCGCTTAAATAACATAGCATAATGAGAGAAAGAAAAGAAAAGAAAAGGAAAGAAAAGCGAACGTATGAAAAAGATTGCGTCAGGAAAGTTAAGTAGCGCGTCGAGTTAAAATTCCATGTTGTATGCGTCACTTTCAAATATAATGGGGACTCGGATTTTGAGGAAAATACATTTAAACATTAAATCTCGAAAAAGTGACTTTTATCTTTTCGTAATCTACATTAGATGACTACGTAATGATGACTATACCATACTCAAGGAATAATATGTATAAGATATATACATATATATTCATGTATTACATGCATAATCTGTGTTATAACAGTATTGTCTTTTGAATATATTTATTTTATGAATATATACATTAGATACATATGTATCTAATGTGACAGATGCTTTTTAGGATATTTCTATTTTTTACGAGAATACAAACTGACAGCTCGTGTTCATTTTCGAGATAACATAGTTACTTTCGATAACACTTATCGACAGAGTTTTCAACGAAGCTGTGTTTCCCACTTTCAGAAACATTCAGTTATTCGTTCTAGATCGTACAATTCTCTTTATAACGAAGATATTCCCAAAACCATACTCGTGTTATTTTTTTTTTCTATTGTATTTATGAAAACACAACTGTGACCAAAAAAAAACAAAAATTAACATTTTGATTTTATATAGAAAAAATAAAAAGAGAAAATAAATCTATACAATAATTGTGCGAGACGTTGTCGTGTCGTTGAATATCATATTTTTGTTTCTTTCTTTTATTTGACAAATTATCGATAAAAAATACAAAAAAAAATTAAAAAGATGAGTTAACAGGATGAATGTTCGAAAGGTTTGTTTATTATTACATTGCGATTTTTAGATACTTAAAAAAAAAAAAAAGATAATAAATCGTGTGAAGTGTTTTATATTATTATACTTGTTGTTAATATACTTTTTAGCGTGGGATTTATATCATATTTAAGATAGAATCTTTCACTGTTACGAATTATTTCGATTGAAATAGAGGGTCAAAGTCCGATTCAATGTCGGACAACAGAACGCAAACAATACAAGGCTTTCTCTGATGTGAGATCATCTGTCGGCAAGTTATTCCGTACTTGGCGTGTTATATTCATTTAGAACGGGTTAAACGCGTTCACGTATTCATAATAAAATCTAATTCTAATCAAAATTCGTACGATTCGTATAAAACGTTTAACATTCAAATAATCATCTCTGTTCTCGTAATAGAACAAAACAAATCGGTTAAGTAAGATTATTTATTTATATTTTTCAAATTAATTAGATAAAAAAGGTGACAATAAAGAAATTATTTATTTATTAAACGGTACACACATTATCGTTGATAAGTAAAGACAGTTGTAGTGATATATATATATATATGTGATTAATAAGAGACTCGATAAAACGAAATTTTATCATTAATTAATCAGTAAATCTTACCAACGATTAAATACAATATTGTATATATAAAATAGATTAGAAAAATATATTTTCTTTTGTTTTTTTTTTCTTTATTAATATAATATCCTGTTTCTTTTTTTTTTTATTTGAATTTAAAGTAGGTTATATTCTCGTGGTATAAACGTAACGTATGATGACGTAATATAGAGGTGTATTATATATAATAATAACATTATATTCGTCGTTGAAAAAGGAAGAGGAGTCCAAAGTTCCAAGGTTTTTCTTTCCTTTCTTTTGAACTAGACATTCGTTTCGTTAATACATCTTGTATATTTGTCGTACATAACACAACGGTGCAGTCAGTTTGACGGTGACAGTTCGTGAAAGTTATTCGTTGATCTACGTATATATATGTACATATAAATTGATATTAGAGTATAGAAGGGGTAAAATGTTTCACCGTAAGCAAATCTATTATTACATTAAAGTTAATTCAATTTAAGGAATCAGTAGTACGGAATAAACGGGGAAATGGCCGCGTTGTCTTAAACATTCAACTATCTGTTTCAGTTTTATCACGTTCGAAGGTCGGAACGGTCCGAGCGTGTTTCCTTTTCAAGATTGTTCGTTATCAATATCGGAGTTAAGCATATTATTACAAATACAACTTGTTCGTTACGCCTTTTCCTTATATATATATATATTTGACTTTCCTAGTTTGATCTTTTTTTTTTTTTCTTAAGCGTTAACCCTTCTTTTTGGTGTGTGTTTTTTTTTTGATCTCTCTTACTTTTTCTTTTAACTTTGACCACGAACGGGTTCGTTCAATAGTTCCAGTCTTTGAACATTTACCAAAGCAGGAATCGTGTGTTTCTTTATTTTCTTCTTCTTCTTTTTCTTTTTCTTTTTCTTATTTTTCACGAGGAAGAAGTAGATGAGGAACTACTCTGAAAGGATAATAAACATAGTTTTGAAAAAAAAATTCTGAAGATTAGGTGAAAAGAAAAAAGAAAAAAGAAAAAAAAATGGTTTGGGAAGATTTATTATCAGTGAAAGAATTGACGGAAATGAAGAAAAAAACTCCGAGATTTCCTTCGAGGGAAAGGAATTTTGCAATGCGGAGACGTGGACCTCGAAGGTCTGCATCATTGATGCTTCCTAATGCATCACCGATTGGTGCACCTCCGATTGAAAAGGAATCTGTCTACACTTATGAGGAACCTTGCAACGATAATCTTTCAATTTTGTAAGGATTTATACACATTTTCTTTCATAATTGATTTTTATATTTTTCATTCTTAAATATATATTATATAAATATCTCTTGTTTTTTTTCTATCTTTTTCTCGTGCTTGCTTTCTTTCTTTACTGTTGTTACATTTGAAGTTTGAATTCTTTTTTTTTTTTTTTGAAACATTTAACGTGATTTTTTTCCTATCGATAATCTTTAACAGGCATTGGTTATTTATATCAAATATAAATCTTGATATAAGATTTAACACGCGTAAGCGTTTACGTAATCACGATTTTGTTTTCCAAGGATTACCATTTTAAGAAATGAATCAGGTGATAGTCTTTTAAAAATAATCTTTACGTATGTATATGTTATTAATTCGTCATAGGATTAATAATTCTTGTAACATATATATATCTTTGTTATTTTATATTTTCAAATTTTCAATCAAAAATGAAATTTTGCCAAATACAAATATAATAATATGTCAAATAGAATTATTCGAATTGATGTAATCGAGTAGACCTTTTTTTTTAAGAACGAAATAATAAAATCTACATATTCACATTCGGGAGAAAAATATAAAATATAATTGATACATTTGCGAGATGATAATAAAACAAAAATGATCTCGTTTGTAAGATTAATTTTTGTAATCTTATATCCACACTTTTTTAAAAGTAGTCACGTCAGACGCGTAAATGTTAATTTCCTTTTACGTTTTTCAATTAAAGAAAAGACGCGATTCATTAGATCGTTCTCGTAATTTTCAAGCGTATAAAATTATTGGACTCTTCTCCTTGAAAAAAAAAAAAAAAATTAAAGAAGCAAATAAAAAAAGGAAAGAGAAAAAAAATAAACGAGTCAGGAAGGAATGCCTTTGACGAATCGTACATGGCGCCAAATTAGATTATCCGATTCTACGAATGCATTCGTAAGCATATACATGTAATATACATAATATATATATATATATACAAGTGCGTATATATGTTATATGTATATCTTTACCCAAATATATACGTACATTTGTACATATGTGTGTACTGTATGGGGATATGTTTACATAAGTGTGTAATAACTATCCAGAATACGCACGATATGTAGAATGAAACGTTTAATATTACGATTGTGCGCGCGTGCGTTTACATACTTAAATGTGTGCAAGCCCATCGTTTATAGTGCATAAGGAGTAAAGAGTGTATAAATAGCAGTGATTCACATTGGAGACCATGACCGAAGGAAATAAGAAAGCGAAAGTATGTATTTCGCGTCCACCTTGCTTATGTATCACCATCGTATCATCTTATTTCGTATTTTCTAAACGTACGACCGAACGAAAGAAACGAATCAACTCACGTGGACTGTTCACAATTCGACACTCACTATATAACATATAACAACTCTCTGCTGCTATCTTTTTTACATCATACTAAGAGATTATTTCTTTTCAAAGTAGACAAGATTATTTTGAATAATAACTTACGGCCAAATATTTGTCCAGTTTTTTTAACATCATTCGTGTGTATATTCTTATTTCTTTTTTTTTTCTTTTTTTCCTTAACAATTTATTTATTCAATAAGTGGTTGCTTGTAAATGTTTCAAATGCGAAAAAAGAGAGAAAAAAAAGCGGTGAAATAAATTGTTACAAATAATAATGATTTGTATCGTATGATTAATTTTCTATAAATTATCGAATACTTGTATACTTATAAATGATAATCGGGATAAAGTATAGATAATCCAAATAAAAATAATGAAAAATGAATTGAAGATATATACAAAAATAAATATATACGGAAGACTATGTACGCCAAAAAGGAACAAATATAAAATAGGAAGAAGAACAAGAACAAGAAAATCTCTAGAATGTTGTCGGATGAAAATATGATTTTCTTAATAGTGTCGTTCGTTCTTTAGTAGGTTAACGTCGTCGTTTACCAAACTCGAGTTGTCTGTCTTCTCCCGTCAAAACAAACGATTTTCATTCGTTTCGAAGAGCTTTAAATCCAGGCACGAGTGCAAGCGTGTTATGTGGCGTATCTAATTGGAGCACCTCTCTCTCCCTCCAATAAATATTGCGTTGCATTTGCGTTGGAGGAGGATGCTAGAAGAAGAAGAACAAGAAGAAGAAAAAAAAAACGAACCAAGATGAACAAGATGAACAAGAAGAAGAAGAAGCTTTCGATGAGAGGAAGGTGAAGAAGAAGAAGAAGAAGAAGAAGAAGAAGAAGACGTCGCGCGCACATAAGACATTGAAAAAGAGGGAGGAAGATATAGAGATAGAAAAAGAAAGAGAGAGAGAGAGAGAGAGATAAAACGCGCCTGCGCTAAACGTAACGGAGAAGCAAGCAGCGCGCTGCTTCTCGTACCACCCGGTATTAACTATAGGTACACACCTATCTACGTCGTCGTCGAAGCTCATGGCGCCAGTTTGAAGTACGCTCCTTCCGTGGATGCACTCTTCCGTGTCTCGTTAAATAAACTTCGTTAATCGCATGCGCGAATTTTACTTTGAAATTTTCGCGCCCTGCCCTAGATTTCAAATTTTCGCGCCTTTAATCATTTTTCCATCCCCGTCCTTGTGTTCCCCCCCACCTCTGCCACACCGTTCACCGTGATAAACGTTGATTTTACTATCCAATGATCGGATTTGTATAAGTAGAAAGATTTCATTGTTAGATCGTTTAAAGATTTCTTCTTTTCTTTTTTTTTTTTTTTGTGTGTGTGCGTACGTGTACGTTTTTGCGTAGGTGTTGACAGTTCGCAGAAATATACTTTAAGATTGAATAGCGGGGTTAATTCTTAACATTTTTTCTTTTTTTCTTTCCAGTCTCTTCGTATCATCGTATCATTCTATTATCGAGAGAGAAGATATATATATATAGTAAATGTTGATTTAATTATTAACTGTTAGATAAAGTCTTTTGCATCTCGTGTATGAGATTTATTCTTTTTTTTTTTTGTTTAGCACAATATTATTTTCCCATTCGTTACACTTATTCGTTTTTTTATTATTAACGCGGTTACATTTTTACGTAGCGAAGAAAATATTGCGCGCGGATCGGTCAATAATAAAACTTAAATGTAGAATTAACTTTTTGGCATGAATACTCGAATAAGTTGGTGCAATTCCACGACTGACTGACTAATCGCACACTTCCTTACCGAGATGATGATGATGATGATGATGATTCATTTAAAAAAAAAAACCGTCTAAATCTTCGAATTTCAGATAAATTAATCGATCGTTCTTTATTTGATTAATTTGTTAAAACCGTATCGTGTGTGTATTGCTAGCCACCCTTATATTAGTCCCGATTGGACGCGCCCAATAATTACGATCTATACGTGAAATCTTAGCGGTCGTAAAAAGAACAAATTTTCCTTACGTTTAGAATCATCAACTCACGCGATTCTGGTATCCCAATATTATTGATCCTCAATTGGATCTAATTTGATCGTTCTGAAATTTCAATCGGAAGGGAAAGGGGGCGAAGGAAATCACGAAGATAAAATAATTAATCAAATAAATACACAATTACTTTTACTATAATTAGATTTTGTCAAGCATCATGCAATTGTTATCCCTTTTAAAAGATTTCGAAGAAAAAACATTTGATTAAATCGTAATGTAATTATAGTTACCTTTCGTGATTGGTCTAGTATCCTAATCTATATATGTTAGTAAGTTTTATCAAAAGAATATCTTAACTACCAACACTCCAATTTCGTTCTCTCAGTGAAAAACAATCGGAATATTGGGGTTGGACGTTAAACGAGAACATTCAATTGAAAAATGTTAAAATTTCATCGAATAAACTAAATAAACCAAAAAAAGAAATGAATAACAAAATAAAATCAATGAATTTTGTATGTGAATAAAATCGTATAAAAGTAAAATGCAGTGTTGGAAAGAAGAAGAAAAAGGAAGAAGAAGAAGAGAAGGAGGAGGAGGAGGAGGAGAAGTAAAAAAAGGAGAAAGAAAATTAAGAATAAAAGAGTAAAAGTATCGGGACGTAAATAAATTGAACAATAAGTAAGGATAAAATAAAATGAGCCCGAAAGGGCCCGGTGGTCAACAAGAGATAACAATGACTGAAGTAAGAGTTATGTGCGTCCCAGAACCGGGCGGTAAACCGCTCGTTTTGAGGGTTAAAATTCCTGAACCAAAAATGCGTGCTATGAGTCCACCCATGAATCGTGATTCTTTGAATCGTGGAAGGTGTCCTTCGGTTTCGGAAAAAGAATTTTATAGGAAAGCAGTGTCATTAGATCGTCGTGACAGATATACAACATTGTCAGGTGCTGAGATAGATCGTGGTGCATTTTCCATACCAAGTTCTTTGGATTTGTCGGGATCATCGTGTAAAAGAAATCCTATGTTGGATCGAAGAAATCGTTATCCTACGATCTGTGGTGCCGAATTAAAACGAAGTCTCGCCATTAACGAGACTCATAACGAAGAAAACGGCTTGGATCTAAGTCTGGCACCTTGGCCTGGCATGAAATCAGCCTGCGTCAGGGTATTACATCTTTACTGTAAAGTCTTCGATCAGTTCGAGTTGTTTGAGTTGATCGTTAGGTAACTATTACACTAACATTTACGCCTACGAATTTAAATTACGATGAAAATTTTGATACTTTACATATTATATCAACATATATTCTTGTCAAAACGTCATTTATGCTATTCACGCGTCATTTACGCGTGACATCGTTGATTGGCCGTTTTAATTTAACGTATCACATATACGTGATGCATAATTTATAATACGTACCTACGTACGTACGTATTATCTGTAACATTCAGTTTCATAAATATGTGAAATATTATCTAAAATTTTTCTCTCTTCATTTTTTTGGAATACTTATTATCATTAAAATTTTAACTTTACTTCATTATCGAACAATTTTTCGCGTTAATATATTGTTATAGAAAAAAAAATTAAAAAACGAAGTATAAGAGAATGTATTTAATTAGATCGTGGTATAGCGAAAGTATTAAAAAAAAAAAAAAAAAAAAAAAAAAAGAAGAAGAAGATGTAATTTTCTTCGTCCTTGGATATATTTCTACTCCTTTAATTACGTTCGTGAGTAACGTAAGTTAACGTCCACACACGTTTTACGGGATGTTATCGAACGTAAAGAATTTTCTTTTCCTACGTACGTAATAATTTCTGCGTTGGAGGATTCCAAGAGAGAAGTAACCAACCCCCCCNCTCCCCATCCCCCGCCCCCTCTTCCTGTCTCGGAATGATCGTATTTCTTTCGATCTTCGCGATCCACGAATAACCAGGAAGACCAGGTTAAATTTAACGCTTACCGCTTACTTGACACGTTAATAAACCGTCTTTGATATATGATATAGATATATAGTTCATCTTCTTTCCCCCTTTTTTTCTTAACATCATCTAAATATCTACGTTGCATCCACCTTTTACATCGGGAAAGCTTTTTTTATTTTCATATGATCTCGCAAAGTGCTTCATTATCAAATCCTCGATCAACGATGATATAGCATTACTATTATAAAAGGAAGAAAAAAGAAGAAGAAGAAAAAAAAAAGGAAAAAAAAAGGGGAAAAAAGCAACCCCTTGCAATTTACTTTGTACGGTTGGTGGCCTTCGTGCTGATATATCCGGAAGAGGGTGCGGTAGAAACGCGATAAACTTTCCCTGACAAATGCATCTCTTTTTTATATACGTAGAAAGATTGTACGAATCGTTTGAAATATAATGTCACGTTTATTTATTAAGTAATCTATCTAGCTACAGTCTTGGATTATAATTATGAAATAGGATCGATAATTATTTTAAACATTTTAATAATACGACTACGCGTACATGTGTATGCATTTATGTATGTATAATGTTGTTTTATGATTGTTTCGATGCATTCAATTTTAAATATTTCCCATTTATTCTGGAACACCTTGTATATAAATGTATATCGTTAATTGGATTTTATCGAACATTTTTTTTATGAAAGATCCGAAAGCAAGGATTTATTAATCGGTAAAAAAATTAAAAAAAAAAAAAAAGGTTTTATTCGTTTATTTTTTAGTAAAATTAGGTGATGATCCGTTCGAAAAAAACACTATAAGCTATTCTGCAACCTACGTGTAAGGTAATAAAATTTGATTGGCAACTTCATCGAGAACGTGTCAACGAGATAACAAGCAAGCATTTTCGACTTAATTAAAGAGGAAGAAACGTAAATGTTTATCCTTCGTAATATATCTGTTCTAAAGGTTCTAATTAATAAAAAGGAATAAAGGATAAAAATATCACGTGTAGTTGTTTTCCTTAACGCGTAGTATTTTTTATCGAACGAGATCCATCGTAATTTCTTATCTTTTTTTTTTTTCTAATAATCTGTGCGTTTTTTGATTTTCTTGTAGAAAAAATTGTACGAGTTGCAAGTGTCCTCGCGAGGATCACGATGTTTGTCACGAAGAATGGGCATCCGTTAGGTCCCGATTGGGACTTAAAGCAGACGAATCAAACGGCCTTCCTGGTTTCTCTGATCCAAGAGAAAGAGGATTGGCATGGGCACCTCCTGGATTACCACCTCATAAGGTTACTCATTTGTCTTATAACAAATCGTTTTAATTCAGTCCATTTCTAATAAATATTTCATCGGATCGGGTTAACTATAATTATATAATATTTACGATATTTACATGCTTGCAAGATAATTTGAAATAGTAATATTATGATTTAACGAACGGTTTATATATTCTCCAGTATTCATACGCGAATGATCGAAAACGAGCAAACGAATCAACTTGGCTATCATCCAAATTCGACTATTTTCTGTAAAATGTTGTTCGTTTGAACGTTACGTTAGGTGGGATCCTGGCCTTTATCATCGAAATGATCAACGAGATGGGGAGAGGGGGAGGTGTTTTCTGTTAAACGTTTTACCCCGTTTAGTTTTTCAATCTCGCGAAGCAACACCACCGATATTCATCCTACTCTAGTTTGATGGCACTACTTTCAAATGCATTTACGATGTTTTCTAAAGTCGTACGAGTTTTAAGCTGATTAGGGACTTGGCACGAATACGATCGTACCGAATGTTCCTCGAGAGTTTACGCGTATAAAGTTTATTTTCAATACCCACACATATTCGACGTGTGTATACATAATGTGGTATCATTTTCACGTTATATATTAGCCATTTAGCGGTTGTATTTTGTAAATTTAATACGAAATTAAACATCGAACTGTTTCTGTTATCGATGGCTATTAAGAAAGAAAAAGAAGAAGAAGTTCTTATATCATCTATAATATAGATTCATTTATAAAATCGTTATACGTATATATTAAAGATCAATTTGTTGTTTTTTTTTCTTTTTTTCAGGTGGACGAATATTTCTCAACGTTACCAGAAATATCCGTACCAAGATTGGGTACACCTGGTGAACGACACAGAGATCGTCAGTTAGCCTTTCAACTTCCTAAACAAGACTTGGCAAGAGCTTATTGCCGTTATCTCGATTTAAAACATGCTTCCAGCGCAGATGATTTTATGGCTGCGAGAAATGAGATAGCTTTGGATATTGGTACTGTTCAAGAAATAGTTGAAGAAGATTTGGTTAGTATACGTCACAGATGCATTAGCGAATATATTTTTGTTCAATATTGCTTAATCGGTGAAGATTAGTGTTATAATAAAAAAACAAAAAAACAAATCACATCGTAAAGTATGATAATTTTGTTTCGTATTTGATTTAGAAATGCACTTGAAAACTGTTCTTAGTTATTGAAAGATTACAGATGGTCAAGTAATCGTTTGTTTTATTACAGTGCTGTGGAGCATGCCTAGAACCCCTAAAGTATGGTAGTCTTGCTGTATTGGCGAGTAAATTGGGAGTACTTCATCATCCGGCATGCTTTAGATGTAATGATTGTAAAGAACTCTTGGTGGATCTTGCCTATTGCGTGCACGAAGATATGATATTTTGTGAAAGACATTATGCCGAGCAATTAAAACCTCGGTGTTCGGCCTGTGACGAAGTAAGTATTTCATTATATACATATATAATCTTTATAATACATAATTTATTATTAATTATAAACAAAACAAAAATCATTAGCTGTGTGTGTGTCAACGTTCCTGTTAAATCTCAAGTGTTAATTTTGTTAGACATACTCTAATATTAGGTAATAAAAGATGTTTCTAGTGATAAGATAAAAGTATCATCGAATGATAATCTCATGGTAGTTAAAGTAGAAATCAAGAAAATTTGTATGAACGATGAAGTCGATCTTACCATTAGAAATCTACTTTACCGACGGTAACTTATTAAAGGGACAAATATTCGGAGTTCAAGTTTAAATAAATTCGAATGTGGTATTATAAATTATGTTGAAATTTTTCGATATATAGCGAAAGTTTTAATATTTATGAATAAATTTTATAAATCATTATATTAGGTAAAGTTAAATTTCTTTTATAGCAAATAAATACGATCGTAAATGTTCTTAACCGTTTATGGGAAAGTCACGTAGAATCGAAAACCTGATTTATTAAAGTTACTTGGATTGGGGTTTTGAGAATTTTTCTGACGTCGTTGATATTGCTTTCAACCGCGGGAAACCTGAAATTCCGGCGTTGACCTAAATACGATGATCAAGGAGAGAACATTAATCAGGTTGCCTCTTTCGTTCTGGTTCGCTTAATTTATCTTTCGTAAATCGTGATTGCAAATTTCGCGTCTGATTATTTATGTACTATACGAAAATACGACATCATTAGTATAGATTATTATCAATTAATAATAATAATAATAATAATAATAAGAATTTTTAATTGGACGATGG